TAATTACGATTTGAAAAGTGGCCTTGGCCAGGACACGACACGAAAGCGGTACGTCCGCCGATGAAATGAGCACGGACGCTAGATACATTGTTACATTGCAGGACCGTGAGATGGCCCACGGCTTGCGGAGCGCCTCATCCAACGGTGGATAGTTCACGGCCGACGATGATGATTATCATCATGACGAGAGCTTAAATAATCACGAGGCATTACTCATCTCCGTGCCGGTGACACAAATTCCACATTCCGATGGTAGGGGCCTGGTTTCTGCGCAGGACGACCGCTGTTGTTGACCTCTCACCAAACCGTACTTATTTTACGGATCGCTCAGGAATGACAGACGCGTGTCGATCGCCGACGGGAACATCTGATAAGCGTGGGCTCAGCAGCTGCAGTATTGCGATTTGCGCACTGCGCTGCGATCCTGGCCGACCCGAGTTCGATTCCCAGTAACGATTTTGGGGAATGACATTGTGAGTGGGTCTGGGCCACCTCCACCCACCCTTCGCTAACCGGCACCGACCATCCACCCAGAAGTGGATCGACTCGGGGATGCACGCACGATAATCGACGGCAGAGGCGACATAGTTTTACGCTCACCGGCGGGCGAGGGGTCAACCGCGTGGCCCTTTGGCGAGCCGACCCCAGCGCGCTCATCCCAACAAGGCAGGTCGGCGAGATCACAACCACTGATATCAGCCTCCCCAGACACCCACGCCCCCGCCCCCTCCCACTCACTTCTCCCCTCCGCCCCGCGGACCGCAAACAAGAAAGCACAATGCGATCCTGTTGCCAGGATTGGCGTTCTTTGCAAGACGGCAGTTTTTAATGCGCGTACATTTCGTATTCGCGTCGTTATTATAGCACAAAGGCGATCGCTAATGCGCTATGGTTATGCTTTGTAAGCTTTTACGAAACATTTCTCACTCGAGTGGAAGGCAGATCTGGCCAAGAGTTGGTGACAAATCATGGACAGAGAACGGCACGGAGTTCCACGTAGATGGCCCGGAAAAAGCAAAAAATGTGCAAGTAGGTGAGTGGATGGATGAGTGAGTAGGTGAATGAGTGAGGGGATGGGTGGATGAGTAGGTGAATGAGTGGGTGGATGAGCGAGTAGGTGGATTATTGGGTTGGTGAGTGAGTGAGGAGGTGGGTGGGTGGATGGGTGGGTGAATAGGTGAGCTGGTTAGATGAGTATGTAAATCAGTGAGTAAATGGGTGAGCGAATCGGTGAGCGGGTGGGTGGCTCAGTGAGTCAGTGGGTGAGCATGTGAGTGAGTGAGCCAGCAATTTGGCCGAGTGAATGAATGAGCGAGCGAGCGAGCTGGATACTACATAACTGCGGGGGCCGTTTCTTCATGTCTCGGAGTACGGGAAGATCAGGTGACCACATGCCGCCAACCAGAATTCAAAGCAGCCTCCGGTGGGGGGAGCCGAGAGCGTCGCAGGGCAAGCCACAGGGCATGCCGGCGGGCCAGGGTGCCGCCGGCCTGCTGGACAGATACAATTTGCAGACCTCACTCGCTCGGGAGTCTAAGGCCAGTCGGTATCCGCATGGCGAGTTCCAGGGGGTGTCGGGTGGCTCAACGCAGCGTCCCCGGGGAGCACGAGGAGGCTTCCTGTCTAGACAGCAAATTACTCGAGCCAACTCGCTCAGCACCACCGCAGCCGCCACAGACGCCACAGCCGCCGCCGTTGCTGCTGCTATCGCTGCCGCCGCTGCCGAAACAGACGGGAGCCACAAACGGGCTTTTCGTTGGCGTGCAAACACCGCAGGCGATACACGGACAGGATTGCCTCGCTCGCCCCATCAGTGAGAGAGGACGTTCTTGGTGGGGGGAACTTTCCCTCCACTCAATGAAACTTCCGCCAATTTCCGCACCCTTGCGTCACGTTGGGCGCCGATGGCGCCCAGCCCCGCACGGTGAGGTCACGCCCCACACGCCCCTGACAGCGGCGGTGGCGGCGTTACACCAACGACACGGGGGAGGAAATTCCGCCAAGCGAGTTGAGGAAATGTGGTGCGACGGGGCGAGGGGAGTTCGTGACCGCCTAGCACGCCTGCTCACCTGTGAGAGCGCAATCACACCTCCCACCTCGCCTGCCCAGCCTCACCATTACTTACAAAGATTATGATTAATATCCTTCAACAGTTTTATCACGATTTGGCTATCGGTATCCGTTCGGATCTCTCGCAGAGCAGTGTTAGAGAACATCCCGTGGAAGCGGATATCGCATATCTACCTCTGAGATCCCTTCAAGTGAGCTCTAATGCAGACAGTGGGAGGAAGCACTTCCCCCTCCCGTCATGTGTGACATGGCGGTCAAAGCGATATTTTTCATTCTCTTGGATTTTATCCGAATTAAGTGCAGCATCAAATTTAATGTGCTTCTCTCGTGCAAGCTATTGTGACCGGGCCAAGACCATCAACTCGCTACACTTGAGAATCCGGTTTGACCACGGGCCGCTGAAAGCTGGGTTTCTTGGGATGTTGTTGGGAACACCAACATGTGTGGTTATTCGACACGGAAGAGAAAAAAAAACGAGGAAATGTGAATTGGCATCGTTTGCCATTGTATAATTTTTTGTAATGTGACTCAAATTACCCTCGGCCGCAGAGCGCGGAATCCAGCCGGGTGGCGTAGCGGTTAGAGTGAGCAACTCGGCCCATTATCCTTTATCGATAAACAGTGCCACTTGCGAACAATCGGCTGCAATTGCCCTGTACATGTGCTGCTCACCCCTGCCACAAAAATGTGGAATTTCCACCAAATCCGGAGATGACCATTGGCCATTCTCCTCTCGTTTATGTACCGAAACACTATATATAGTATATTTATATAGCGTTGTCATGCATGCAAATTGCACCTCAATCGCTCAGGAAGTACTGACAAGCTGGAAGGCATCCAGGCAGCATGGCCGGCGCCAACAACAAATCGCCAATGATCTGCAGTCCTCTATATATGAAGATGCTTTCAGGCTATTTAAACACCACATTAACGTGTGGGAGGAAACCGGAACACCCGGAAAAACCCACAAGCGCGAGGGGGGGGGGGGCAACGCTCTATCCCCCATAGAGAAGGGACAGATGGAGATTAGTCCACATAATTCATTTCAAGCAGGTAGCCCCGTAATTAATAGCACGGCTCATAAACGAGGTGTTTAGCTGCGCCACCGGCTAATTGCGGAGGTCTCGTATTTCCCCATTAACGGCAAACGACCTGCGACGAGCGCCGGCGCGATCCATCAGCGGACGCCGAGCGGGCACACACGCTTGCGCAATTACAACGCCGCCCCGAGCTCGCCGGGTAGGCGATCTCGTTCTCGCGATGCGCCAGCACGCTCAGGCGGCACGCGCGTCCACACGCGCGCGCATTCACACCCAATGCACGCACGCAAAAACGCACATATGCACGCACAAGACAAAGGATACCCCGTGTAGCCTTTAACAAACTGTTGGGGCAACTGCTGTTAAGCGAGTACTGGTGAAAATCGGCACAGCATGACAATGGGTGGCGTGGCGAGCACCATGCCCAGCCGCCTTCGTCTCCCCAGTGGTTATGTTTACACAATGCACCAAGTGCTCATTTAAGGCCGAGTCGAGCTAGTCAAGGGCCCAAGACCGGTTCAGATAATCGCCACCAATGTTGGCACATAAATCGTGCAGGCGCTTTGAAGAAGGGCCTTTGTCCGAAATGATTCCGATTTCATTTGAACTCTTTTAATTCCACGGTATGCTATTGACGAACGAGTTAACCTTTATGACGAACGCGCGCGCGTTCGCTCGCCACGCACCGACGACTCCACTCCTCGATCATGGAGATTACGTGCGGTCATTCATTGCGTAAACGATCGTGCCCCGTTGCGTCACTCCGAGGCAGACGCACAATCAGTCGCTGTAATTGCTTCCAAGGAAGAGAGGGCAAGCGCGGTGGTCACACATCAACGCGACCCGGACAGCGCCCGTCGTCGCTGGCGGAAAGCGCGCCACACGCCAACTGCGACCGTGCGAGCTGCTGTGTGCGCCCGTTGCCACGCTGCGTGAGTGTGATGGCAATGTTAAACTATTAAAACTACTTTTATTTTACCAGCGAAATAGCTATTTTTCAGAATCGACCTGCCCATCACAAATAACATCTCAATTAAGTGGCTTATTACATGGAAATTTCAAGCAGCCAAGCACTCTAAAAGCATGTTGAGAGTGCTTGCCAACCACAGGGAAAGAGACACCGAAAACTCCAAATATACAGGCGTCGTCAGGGTCGGGATCGAACCCGCAACCTCCTGTATACCAGGCGAGGTAGTTAACATCTCACCACCGTTAACATGTGCGGTCGCGTCGTGAGAACCAGCGGCGTCCCCCCCCCCCCTGCCGCCCGCGAGCGACCTGTCCACGTGAGATTGAGCAATTTGGCGTCGATCGTTAATGGGTGACGTTGTACAGTTAGCGAGGACACAGCCACTCGCGTGTGACTCTGCGTGGTAGGGAGGAGGAGGTTGCTGGGGTTAGGGTTATGCGCCCCTTTTCATAGTACAGGTCAGGGTCAGAGTTCGGTTCTGGGTGTGATGGAAGGTCAGAGTAAAGGTAGAGGTAAAGGTCAGAGTTTGTGTCAGGTCACCGCTACTCGCACTTGATGTTGAGCGACACATGGGTCAGGGTTCGCGACCGGGTTCATGTCAAGGTCAGGGGTCAGGGTGCGGCGTTAGCACAGCGCCACTCACACTTGACGTTGAGCGACACATGGGTCAGGGTTCGCGTCAGGGTTCATGGCAAGGTCAGGGGTCAGGGTTAGCACAGCGCCACTCACACTTGATGTTGAGCGACACGGGTCAGGGTTCGCGTCAGGGTGCATGTCAAGGTCAGGGGTCAGGGTGCGGCGTAAGCACAGCGCCATTCACACTTGATGTTGAGCGACACATGGGTCAGGGTTCGCGTCAGGGTTCATGTCAAGGTCAGGGGTCAGGGGTCAGGGTGCGGCGTTAGCACAGCGCCACTCACACTTGATGTTGAGGGAGGCGTCCTGGCTGCGCGCCACCTCGCCGGTGCTGGGGTCGCGCACCACGCAGACGAAGACTCCGGCGTCGAGTTTGCGGTCCACGGCGCTGAACTGGAGGTTGCTGCCCTCGACGAAGCGGCGCGCCGTGTCGGGCAAGCGGCGCCCATCGAGCAGCCACGAGAAGGTGACGCCGGCGGGCTCGGCCACCTCGCAGCGCAGGATGGCAAAGCGGCCATGCTGCGCGTCCTGAGAAATCGGCTCCTCCGTGAACACGATCGCTGCACCAGCAGCACGGTGGGGGGGGGGGGGGGGGGGACAGTAGAGCAGAAATATTTATATTACTATGCTTGCTTACCTAAGAAAATCTCACCGAGTCTCAAGACTAATTTTCAGGAGGGTCCTGCCATGTGATGTTGCTGTTGTATGCGATCCCAATTGAGTAATTTGCAGGTACTTTTTCATCATTTTGGATGTTTTTTGACCAATACCAGCAACATTGTGTGTGTTTTTTTAGCTATGGGAGGAAACAATAGAACCCAGAGGAAACCCATTCAGAACATGGGGAGAACATACAAACTCCACACTGAAAGGTGCCCCGAGTCGGGAATCGAACCCAGGAGATTCTGTGAGGCACAAGCATTACAGCAGTGGGTTTGCCAATCCACGTGGCTGAACGCTGGTCAGCGCAGGTTGGTAGAGGAGGGGAACGTGGGGTTGGGAGCAGAAAAGTACTGTGCAGTGCACCATTCTCCACTCCCCGCCCCGTAGCCCTGGATAAAAAACGCTCTCGAATTAAACGCCCGCTTAATTGAAGACGTACGTCGAAATGAAATGGGTAACGATTGACGCGCTCGTTAACCGCAAAATTCACATTAAATTCATGGCCGCGGCGGCCAAAAGGCGACGGTCGGCTCCGCGCTAGTCCGACGACGCGATGTAAAAAAGTGCCTCTCCATTATTAATCGGCAAACACCGAGCACAACGCTCAATCGGCAAACGCCGAGTGCAACGCACAAGCCACAAAACGCGCGGTCCATCAACTATTTTGGGCTTTAGTGGCTAAAGAGGTCTAATCACCAAAACAAGCGCCTTTCTCTCTCTTTCTCGAGTAAGTGGAGGAGGTGGAGAAGGTGGAGGAGGTGGAAGATGGGGGAATCGCGAGCCACAAACAGCAGGTGCACACGATGAGGCGTGGCGTGCAGCCGCAATCCGTATTCAAGCATTCGTGCCTTTGTGCAGAGAGAGAGGCTTTCACTTGCTAGAATCACCATGTGTGGAGAATGGTTCTCGTGCAAGCAGGCTCGCTAATTGCCGTGTTCTCAGCAGAAGACACAAAAGGCCCTCCTCCTCCTCTGCCTGCTCGGCACAAGGGGCCTTTCAGCCAGAGACCACATTCACAAACCCAAGTCTGGCCAATTTCTTTTCACGATTCTCCTGCAATGAGCACGCGGACCACCAATCGCTTTCTGTAATTAGTGAGGACTGCGGACGGGGCACAATTTCAAGGTAGGTTTTCGTTCATTAAGAGTTTTGCATTGCCGTTAGGATAAGCAACGCGAGGTCACGTAACGCATCGGAGCGAGCAACGCGCAGCCCCGCGTAGCCCCGTTGTCAAGAGGGCTTGGCCCGCGCTGCGTCGGTCGTGATGGTCGTTTGACCATACTTCACCACGTTGGTCAGCACGGGCTAGTGAAACTGTGGGGGGTTACCCTCCGGCCAGTTCAGACATCGCTCACCGCCGACTTTAGCCGCGACCAGGAAGCGAACTCGGGTCTCCGCGTTCACAACGCAATGGGTTAACCCGCTGCGACGCCGCCGCCACTACCCCACCCCGATAATGCAGATTACTCACAGAAGCGTCAAAACTGGAGGGCAAATTACTCAGAGACCCCCGAAGCCTTATCAGGAGTCTTTAATCAAAACCCAGACCAGGCAGTGGCTCCAGTCTCTATCGTCGCGACTGCCACTCGCCAAATGCCACCGCTGCGAGGCGGAGCCATTTACATCAGTGGCTGCCGCCTAACGTTTGGGATTTCTAATTCGCTGTCTGCCGTGATGGATGGGTCAGTTGGGTAACGACCTCCAGCGACGTTCCACCACGTGTGGGGTGGCTCGCTCTTGCTCCACCTAATGGAAGAGGATACCCCCAAAAAGAAGAAAAAAAACAACAGCCAAGGTGACCGGGTGGCTAGGAGGTCAGAGCGCAGAACCGCCACCGCTGAGATCCTGGGTTCGAATCCGGGTTCCAGCCGCCCAACCGTGATTAGAACCGGGTTCTCAAGCGGAGCAAGTTGATGGTATTAAAAATAATAGATTTCACCATTTGATGGCCTTGGTCCGGTTGGCAGGGATTGCACACACACACACACAAAATACAGGACGAGGGATAATTAATTTGGCCCTGCACTAAATTTGGATAAATGCCATTTCTGCTAATTAAAACATCAGCTTGGCTGTCACGCGATGAATATTACTCTCAGTGGCCGAGTGGCTGGAAAAGTATCGCCCACTTCTGTGTGGTGAGGTTTTCTCCGGGTTTTCCGGTTTCCTCCCGCATGAAGCCAAACTCTCATTCATGGCTAAACATCCCAATGCAGCGTGGGACCCCTTCTGAATAAAAGGCCATGGGACTCCGCTCGGTCGGTTGTCCCTCGGGCCACACGATCAGCAAAAAATAATCAGTTTGTGCCGTCACAGACAAACGCAACAGGAAATCTCGCTGCCGAGTGGTTCAAGGCCCCCCCGCGTCGACGGAACGCGACGTGCGCGTTCCTCCGTCCGTCCGTACGTACGCGCACCGCTTCACAAACGCAGGAATGCGTTTCAGTGGCGGCTCAACGGAGGCGACGTCCTTCATAACCAAACACAATAGCCGCAAACACAATGGGCACTCATCGGCGGCGGACGGCGTCGAAAAGATGCGTTCGCGTTTAGACTCCGCCGCGTCGCGTATTCACACAAAACGGCACCATCACCAGACACGAAACGACAGGCCCATCATGTTCCCGCTCCTCCACTTGCTGCCGCTGTGGTAAATGAATGCAGTCCCTCCGTTGGCTGCGGGGTTTAGGCGAACCAACTAAAATGTCCCATCCTCATCATTGGCCGTGATCTATTTCGTTGCTGGATGAAGGAAGGCCAACCTCTGCAAGCCATCTGCAACCTCTCTCTCGGGTCTCGAGATGCGCACGAGCCCACTTCATCGCTCCGTCTCCGCGCCGCACGTTTATCTACGATCGTTCTCCCCGCTATAATCTTCATCATGTATACAGCCTACCATTGTGTATGTCAATGATTAGAGTGCACGTAAACATACGATTACACGTGTACATGATACACGTGTGTACAAGGCCAAACGTTTACACGCCATAATGCATTTATGCTGGCGTCTCGATTATGCGTGTAGGTGGCCGCGTGTGTGTATGCAACACAATGTGGATTTATACAACGCAGAAACGTGCCTGTATTTAAAGACGCTGTAAAGAAACAATGGGCATATTGATTTGCGGAGAGAGGCAGTTATAGGCAGAGGAGAACAGGAGGGTCTTCAGCCTGGAATTGAACAGGGGCAGGGAATCCACAGCACGGGTCTGGGGCAGCAGAAGAGAATAAGCAACCTTCCACTTCGCGATGGTCGACTGGGGGGCTTCCTCAGAAAGCCTTGGTTGCTGTAGTAGAGTGCACGGAGGGGAACAGAGTGAGATGAGAGGGGAGAGAGATAGGAGAGTGTGCGGGGAGGAGCAGAGTGAGATAGGAAGGGAGAGGGAAGCATACGATCGTGCGTGCGCACATGGTTACTGCACGTACCAGGCTGTGCGCACACGAGTGTTAGTAAATGCACGTAACTGTACGCGAGTGCGTGTACACAACTGAGCGCGCACATGGCTCCCGCGACGTGTGCACGCACGGCACGCTCTCTCGTGATATACCGCAAATAAGAAGCGAGCCTGCTGAAGCCATCACGGTGCGCACACAAAAAAACTTAATTCAAAGAAAAAAAAATAATCGCTTCTCCTGTAGAGCCGATCCAAAAGACAAATGGTGGGAGGTCGAGGAGGAGGGGAGAGCATACTGGCTCAAAGACAGCGAGGTTTGGCACCGCTCCAGAGCAGTGTGCATTACTTGAAATCACCCCGTAGCCAATTTGGACAGAAACTGAATGACAATGTCAGCCATTCGCCAGAGACGAAGCCTGGCGCTCGCACAAAAAGCCTTTGCGGAGGCACGGAGGAACGGGCCCCGGCATCTTTATTCCGCACACGGCCCTCCGTGACCTCCCCTCTCTCTCCCTCTCTCGCTCGCTCGATCACGGGGAAGTTGCTCTCCTCGCGCAGACATCACCCACTGCTGCCTTTGGACAAAAATTGATTTGGCTCGGCGGCAAAACATTTTTTTAAAGACCCGTCAATTTCATCCTCCTCCGTCGTTTTGCTTTTCTCTTTTTAAGTTGCGACCGCTCAGGGAATGCGGTGGCTGTTTTCGAGAGAGCGTGCGCTGGTCTTCGCGACATAAAACCTCGCTCCAGCCGCGGGCACGGCCATAACGCGCCGCGTCTCATCACGGCCGCCGCCGCGTGTTATTACAGCTGGAGAAGATTGCCACATTACTTCTCACAGCCCTCCCGGGCAGTGGCGGTGGCGGCGCCGTCGATTCACAGCTGGGGTGGGGGGTTGGGGATGCAGGCGCTTCTTGCAGCGGTGCGGCTGTCGCGACGCGTCCGTTGTTCACGGCTCGAACCAGCCATCGCGCTTACGTGACAAAGCGTTGCGGCACATCGAGGGATGTATGTGGTCGGAATGGATGGTCCCGCTGACACCGATGTCGCTCGTCCGCAGAGCAGCCCGAGCAAAATATTTTTCTTGACATACGACGAAGGGGGGAGATAATTTGAGCGTGACACACGTGCGCGACCGTGCCCGGGATGAACGGTGACCCCCCCCCCCCCGGCTGCGGAGGACGGCGATGGAGGGAACGCCGGAAGCTTGCTGGGGAAGTGGGAGGCACACGATGCGAATGGACGTCAGACGTCAAAAAGGTTGAATGGGATGAAGGCCGTCTCAGTTGAAAGATGCAGCGACTGAGAGAAGTGGAAAGAGCATGGCGAGGAGACAACGGTGAAGGAAACGATCAATGGCCCACGCAGGCCAAGACGGGAGGAAGATTCGCCTACGACAACAACTGCAGTGGCCACCATTCGCCACGGAGTGATGCCAACCACGGCGCTTGTGCAAGGCGAGGTGCATTTGGAGGCCAGACCAAAGAACGCACGCACATACAC